CACAAAGTTGGAATAGAAGGAACAGAGGTGAAGGAAGAGATTATGTTCATTTCATGTACAGCAATCCACAAACTTTGCCTTACATTCCTCTAGGTCCAGGTACAGTGATTCCAAGGGACTATACTCAGCCCTTGTATGTGAAGCTTGACGTGATTCGTTGGCTTCAGGCTGGACGTCCTCTGTACTTCAGCAACAATGGAGTGGTGCTTGCACATTGTGATGTAGAGCCCACATACTTGGACATTTGTGTGGATGAACCACGACCAGAAGATGCTCCAGAGCCAGCTAAGGAGTTGATTAACCCTCTGCCAGAAGAGAAGATAATGGAGAAGATCAACAGAGAGAAGGAGCAACAAGACAGATTGCGAGCCTTGTTCACAAGACTCTCTATTGACAAGCCATATGCCAGAGAACTTCTCAAGAGGATTCATGCCGATGAACCTGAGACAAGACAAGCTAAGAGGCATATGTCTCTTTGGTTGGAAGAGCTGAGCTTAGGTGCTATTGCACGATTTGTCAGCTATGACAATCACCCTGCACGTGAGAACAATCGTTCACGATTGAGGTCACGTCAGGTGATGCCTGAAGGCCATTATCAGATGCCACCTGGATGGTCTTTGATTCCACCTAAAGAGATTGATGATCGTGATCCTTGGAGTATCTTAGGATACAATGCTCCAACGTTGAGTATCAATGGAGATGGTGCTACCACGAGATCATTGTTTATGGTACACCCATTGGTTTTGAGCAAGGATCAGGCAAATCTGGTGAAGGCTGATGAGGAAGTGATTCGTTTTGACCACATTTGGAAGGACATCACTTCAAGAGGCTCAACAGCAAGGACTTCTGGAGGACCTCAAGGAGATGAAGAAGATGACTCTGCTCATGTTGCTGAGCGAGAGATGACATGGTTCATTCAGAATGTCAACAACCTGGTTCTCAACCCATGGATGGTATATGACATTGGCATGGTATCACTCCATGATCGCATAGGAACACGTGTACTCCAGAGCACTGGAGAAGACGTGATTCTAGTGAGGGATTGGGACAGGTTGACAAGACACCAGAGAGAATATTTTTGTAGAAGATACAAGTTGTTACGTCCAAGTGTTTATGGAACAGAGGAAGACCCCAAGACGTATGCACCGAGTTTTGAACCCGGAATTTCTCAGTGGATGGAGTTGGCACAAACTGGATACCAACAGTTTTTCTTCATCCGTGCTTGGGAGAATGGACGCCGCTGGGCTGAAATTCTGACAGACCATGGTATTCAATCCATAGAACTTTCAAGCTTCTTGGATATGTGCAGAGATCCCAAATTGCTGGGTTGGAACTTTGGTATTCCAGAACCTCAGTGGGATAATTTTGGCAACACAGTGGAGGAAGCATTCAACAATCCCTTATTTGCCAAATTGCACTATCGCTTCAAGCAGGAGGAAGAGATTGGTCGTGTCATGCACCTTGTGTCTGAACTTGTTTGTGACTTTTTCATCAAGGTGCTTCCCAAGTGGGTTCTTGACCACTCGATCTTGTGGGAAGAGTTTATGATTTTGGATCCAGACACAAATCTCCCAGCCTACAAGACCTCAGAGGCCGCTTTACAAGCAGAAGTGAATCCAGAGAAGTATCATACACATTTTGCTATGAACTTCAAGAAATTCAGGTTTTCTGCAAGAGTGGTGTGGTATTTGATTGACCGTGACAGGAATCATTTAGAGAGTTTTCTTCACAACTCCAATAGCAGATTTGTGCAACATGCATGCTATCAACTTCGTGAATATGTTCAGTCGCGTGTTGCAGTTTCTGATCCCTTGTATGAGATGATCAAGAAGGAAGAGTTTGAACGCCAATACAATTCCAAGTTTTTGGAGGCGATTTCTTGCTCTCGTGTTGTAGTTGAGCCTGTAAGTTCAGGGACGTATGAGCCATCATCGAAGCTGAACTTAAGATCCAGAAGAATGAGGAGCTTGCCAGAGAACGTGAGGAAGAAGAAGAACAGGCAGCTCAAAACATCTCAAACTTGTTAGCAGATGATATGGAGCTTGATTTTGATGATGACGACGTACCAGTATGGCGCTCCATTGTCAACAAGTATAGAGAAGGTGATCAGGTGCTACAAAGAGAAGCAGTGAAGATTACTCATCTTTTCAAGGACAAAAAGGACAATGAGAAGGCAACAGAAGTTTTTAGTTCAGAGAGGACAGATTTTCATGAGACCTCAGAACCTCTTCCAAGGACCATGGGAGAAAATCTTGTAGAGGACTTGCTCACCAAGAATGTCGCAGAACAAGCTTTTGAGGCAGGTGAAGAAGTTCCTCCTTACACAAGAGTCTCCACTATCGCTGGTGGAATCTACACTGGTAGTCTGATGTTGACGAAAGATGAAGATATGGAAGAGGAAGTTCCTGAAGAAGATCCTGCAGTTGAACCTGAGAAAGATGAAGAAATGGTTGATGAGAATGCAGGTACTTTTCCTTCAGAGGGACCAAAGATGGAAGTTGACCAGGAGGAAACCAAGGAGGAGCCAACACCACACTTTCTGTCAAGAGAGATAGGTGAGGACTCAGCTGCATCGTACTTACCATCAGGTGAGAAGGATGCTAACCTTGAGGATACTTCAGGTCAGCGGAAATCTAAGAAAAGCCGCCTGAATAAGATTCCTGATCCTCATTTTCATGAAGAAGTTCAGGATGATGCAACTCTTGAGGAGAAGAAGAAGGCGGTGAAGAAGATAAGAGAGGTCAGAGAGGATGATGGAGAGAAGAAATTGGAGGCTGAAATCCAAGAGTCTTTTCCATCTGAAGTAGTTGTTGATAAAGATCCTGTGGATGCTAACAATACCTATGAGTTGCATACCTCACCTTTGAGGTTGCTTGGAGAGCTTACAGGAGATCCAGGTATTGGCTTTTATCAACTATGCTTCAGGGAAACTCACGCAAGATTGCTGAACCATGTTTGTTTCAGAAAAGGTGAGATTTCCCATCCTCATTATCAGTCGAGGATCAACGAGGATGATTTTGTTCGATCCATTCGAAAGGTCTGTCCAGTACCTCCACCTGATTGTTATGAACACGACTCAGAGCATGATTTGAAGAGGTTTTTCATCAATGATGACCGCATCAGTTATTTGGATGGCAAGTATCAGGTCGATCCAAAGGCCTTTGAAAGGGCAGAGCATGCTCGAGAAGAATTGGAGGATACGAAGAAGGAACTTAAGAAGGAACTGGAATCATATGGTCCCAATGGACCCAGTTGGGACTTTGTCACCTTCTATGAAGAGCTGTGCAGAAGGTTCCTCAAGGGAAGAATAGAAGAACAATATGGAACCAACTTATCGGCCAGCTCAGAGTCCTTGACGTTTTTATCCTGGAACTATGGTAACATGGTTCGTGGTCAGAAGTACACCACACCAAGGTTTCTCCAAGGACTTGATAGTGCAATGAGGCCACGCAAACAGAGCGCCATGTCACTTCAATACGAGCAATTTGAGAACAACCTTTTCTTCAATATGCTCTTCTTTTTACGTGCACATGTCGTGATTCTCCAGGAAGCTCATCTCCTTGTTCCTGCCAAGGAATTCATTGAGCAAAAGAATTGGACAGTTTGTTTCAATGATTGGGAGAATCTTGCAGTGATGGCTAGATTGGCACCAGGTGGATATGTCAAGATCATTGCTGGACATGACCAAGACCTTGGTCATTGTGAACAGCGTGATGTAACTTGGGCTATCTACGAGATTTGTTTTGGAAAAACAAGGCCTCGTCAAGAATTCAAGGATGCAGACTTTGAATTTGATGACTATGGTCCTGAGGACCAGCGTGTTCCACTTACTAGAGCGAACATGCATACCATCAGAGTCTGTAATTATCATGTTGATACACACCGTGCTGTGGATGCCCACCTACTGACAGGAGAACAGACAGCATTGATGCTGTATGAGTGTTTTGTCTATGAGGTGGACATCATTTTTGGTGATGCAAATAGTTTAGCCTACAGAATGTCTGGGTACAAAAGGCAGCCAATGGCTAACTATTATTACAGCACCATGCAGCATTGGATCCGCAGATTTTCAGAAGCCCGCGTAAAAGCAGATCCTGGTATCAAAGCACCTATTCCCAGAACATTTTACAGTTCAACTTCACTTGTTCTCAAGCAATGTGAAGATTACTTTGATAAACTCTGGGAAGAATACTCCACAATAGAGAAAGAAGAATACCAGGGATCAAAGCTTGGAGATACATGTTTGTCTACCATTGTTGAATGGGGTC